TTCTTTGGTGCCTCATTTGATCTTGCCATCACAACCTCCCAAACAAAAGTAAGTTAGATATCGTGATTGGACTGGGTTTTACCTGTCAAAAAGTGCTTGGGAGATAAGCGACAATTGCGATGAGCCGAACCAAGTACCATGGTCTGCAATCATCTTTCTTGCTCAGCTACCGTTAGCATCATGCATGGGATGTTGTTGTACTGACCTGTGCGCTTTGCCGGCATTGAATACAGCTGTTATTTACTGCGAGTGGCGCGGGCCTCTACACACCTCACTAGCATTGGTGGTGTGAGACTGGAACTGAGCTTGTATCACTGCTGTAGCGCAGTATCTACTTTCCTCGCCGTTTGTGCTTGTGTTGTCATGTACATGTAGTAATGCACACCCGCCATGATGTGCTTTGCACTTCTCTACGCGCGCTGTCACTATGTACCGCGCTTTGCTTGCTTGCCTCCTTCTTATACTGCTGTTCTTTCCATGTCCACTTCATTCCTGATGATGGTCATAAGACCGAAGCGTTGTAACGATACCAATGGATTTGTGTGAAATGCAGTGCTCTCTTGAGTGTATAGGCAGGTTGCCTGCAAACGATTCAAGTATAATGAAGCTGCGTGAAGCGTCCTTCAAAATTTTGAAATTAGTATTATTATTATTATTATTAATTTGGAAAGGATTGGGAGAACTTCAAATTCAAAGGATCAGTCGGGGAAGTGAACTGCCTGAAAAGAGAAAAAAACGCCAGACCCACCAGGACTCGAACCTGGGACCCTGCTTGTCGTGAGCAATGCTCTAACCACTGAGCTATGGGACCAGGCTGAACCTAGAAGGCGCTGACAAGTGTTTCCCTCCAAAGGCAGCTCACAACACGTGCCACACATACTGATGGCACTTGGGTCTTTTTCCCTCCCCCAGGGGACCAACCACGGTCAGTTTCTGGAAACTACCAGAGGTGAAAGAAAGTGATTAAATTTGGAAAGGATTGGGAGAACTTCAAATTCAAAGGATCAGTCGGGGAAGTGAACTGCCTGAAAAGAGAAAAAACGCCAGACCCACCAGGACTCGAACCTGGGACCCTGCTTGTCATGAGCAATGCTCTAACCACTGAGCTATGGGACCAGGCTGAACCTAGAAGGCGCTGACAAGTTTTTCGCGCTGACAAGTTTTTCCCTCCAAAGGTTTTTTTTCTCTTTTCAGACAGTTCACTTCCCCGACTGATCCTTTGAAATATTATTAATATTATTATTATTCAACTCGGATGGTGAGCCAATTAAATTTGTTGACTGTATATGATCTTGACACGTTGGTGGACAGTTAGTCATAACTCGTAACATTATGTCCTTCTCCCATTTCACCATTATTATAATTATTAATTGTGAAAAGAAGAAAATGTAACGAGTTATGACTAACTGTCCACCAACGTAACCAGATCTTATACAGTCAGCGAGTGCGACATAATGGCACAAAACTGACAAGGAGTACTGAGACATTCGGCGACCTGACACCTAGCTCCAACACTTCTCCAAGGCGCAAACCAACAACATTCCAACTTGGAAGGCTCATGTTCGGAATTTCTCAGTACTCCTTGTCAGTTTTGTGCCATTATGTCGCACTCGCTGACTGTATAAGATCTGGTTACGTTGGTGGACAGGTAGTCATAACTCGTTACATTTTGTCCTTCTTCTTTTCACAATTAATTATTTAATTGGCTCACCATCTGAATTACATTAAAATAATAATTATTATTATTATTACCCAATGCTGTAGACAGCAAGCTGTTTCGGCCATAAAGGCCTCATCAGTACAGCTACGAGCTAAATAGGCCGAGCTACCAGCCATGGTGCAAAGGAGGCACCACAGACATTAAGGTAGCTCGTCGCTCTAGCGCCAGAGTGCTCAAACTACAAAATGTAGCGGGCATAATAATTATTATTATTATTAATTTCAAATTTGGACTTCACAGAGAATTTCAAATTTTTAGGAAATTAGAGGCCTCATGCCACGTACATACTGCTCTTTTCTCTCCAAAACTCAACACTTGCAAGCCAGATATGAAAGAAAAAAAAAAACATGAGTCACACCACCGGGACTCGAACCAGGGGCCTTGCTATTCGCGAGCAATGCTCTAACCAACTGAACTACAGTATGACTCTTATCCACGGTGATGATAAATCTATCCTTCTTCGATCAATCCATATCTGGCCTGCATCATACTGGCAACTCACACCAATCAAGAGGGCCCTCGGCCATTCGCTTGATATCATGGGGAGCGCATCAAACTATGTCCACTGCGAGCAAATACAAATTGCAATTTCAAATTTGGACTTCACGGAGAATTTCAAAGTTTTAGGAAATTAGAGGCCTCATGCCACGTACGTACTGCTCTTATTTCTCCAAAACTCAACACTTGCAAGGCAGATATGAAAGAAAGAAAAAATCATCAGTCACACCACCGGGACTCGAACCAGGGACCTTGCAATTCGCGAGCAATGCTCTAACCAACTGAGCTACAGTATGACTCTTATCCACGGTGATGGTAAATCTATCCTTCTTCGATCAATCCATATCTGGCCTGCATCATACTGGCAACTAACACCAATCAAGAGGGCCCTCGGCCATTCGGTGTGAGTTGCCAGTATGATGCAGGCCAGATATGGATTGATCGAAGAAGGATAGATTTACCATCACCGTGGATAAGAGTCATACTGTAGCTCAGTTGGTTAGAGCATTGCTCGCGAAGAGCAAGGTCCCTGGTTCGAGTGCCGGTGGTGTGACTGATGATTTTTTCTTTCTTTCATATCTGGCTTTCAAGTGTTGAGTTTCGGAGAGAAAAGAGTAGTATGTACGTGGCATTAGGCCTCTAATTTCCTAAAATTATTATTATTCTTATTATTAAGTTGATTGTTCCAACTAGGAACACACGCTTCTTGCCGAACTTGACACTTGACTGACTCACGACGGCCATCCGGAGCACACGAGGAGCACGTCGCACCTTCCACTTGGCAAACCTGCAAGAAAGCACCACTCCCTGCTCAACACACAGTGTTTCGGGGAATTCACCCCTCATCAGTTGAGCTTGACTAGGCTGAGGAAGGTTATGCCTGAAAAGCACCACTTATATACTGCTTTCCAGGCCAAACCATCACCAGGGATACAAACTTACAGAGACGCTTTGCTTCCAGAGCGACAAACACCTCGTGAAGCTCCAGGTAGCAGCGTGAGTCAGAGTCGCTCAGGGAGTTGTTCTAAACAGACGTTGAGAGCCAGTATAGCTATTCGCAACGCTGTCACCTCCAACAACTAGTCGCACGTCCGCGTCCGGATGGCAGTCGTGAGTCAGTCAAGTGTCAAGTTCGGCAAGAAGCGTGTGTTCCTAGTTGGAACAATCAACTTCATGACTATTACCACCGAAGTCGCAACTTCTAAGTTCGTATTGTTGTCCCTCACGCGGACGTGCGACTAGTTGTTAGAGGTTACAGCGTTGCGAATAGCTATACTGGCTCTCAACGTCTGTTTAGCACAACTCCATGAGCGACTCTGACTCACGCTGCTACCTGGAGCTTCACGAGGTGTTTGTCGCGCTGGAAACAAAGCGTCTCTGTAAGTTTGTATCCCTGGTGATGGTTTGGCCTGGAGAGCAGTATATAAGTGGTGCTTTTCAGGCACAATCTTCCTCAGCCTATTCAAGCTCAACTGATGAGGGGTGAATTCCCCGAAACACTGTGTATTGAGCAGGGAGTGGTGCCTTCTTGCAGGTTTGCCGAGTGAAAGGTGCGACGTGCTCCTCGTGTGCTCCGGATGGCAGTAGTTAGTCAGTCAAGTGTCCAGTTCGGCAAGAAGCGTGTGTTCCTAGTTGGAACAATCAACTTCATTACTATTACCGCCGTCGCAACTTCTAAGTTCGTATTACAAGTATTATTATTATTATTATGAAATGACCCAACGGCAGTGTGCCTATCGAGGGGTTCATTTGATCAAATTCAACTCCACGTACTATTCCCAATAACGTCTGTTCTTCTTTTCTCCCCTTCTCCTAGCACTGTCTGTCTTCTCTTTCCCCTCCTTCTAATCATGTACCTGTCACTCATTTCATTTTTCTTCTTCTTTCTTTTTGGTGCGTTTTATATCCCATGACGTTGAGCCCTCAGGTCGGCTGAGGGAAAAAAGCCTCACCATCATTATGCTCCCACTATGCATTTTTTTGTCTTTGCCTGTGAGTTGTGATCATCGTAAAATAATAATAAAGAAATCTCTGGAGAGCAGAGGCGCCAAAATGGAGAAGAGTGAGGCGAGTGCTCTAAATGCTGTTCCATACCTATTCGCTTGGACTCCAGTAGCCTGCCTGCCGCATGGTGATGTTTTGGTGCGAACTTGGCATATTGCGGACTGCTCGATTGGAGAACAGTGCAGGCTCCGTGAACCACAGCCCCTACTCTTTGATTCCGGGCTCGGAACACTACGGGATATGAAAGTTTTGGGTCCGGGAGCTGTTCGCTGTTTTATCACTTGTCACCGTTGTCCATTCATCGTTGTAGCATAAAATAATGAGGCGGGACTATTTATGCGGAAAACCAAAATAGAGGCCAGTGCAGACGAACGCTACAGACTTTGAAATTTAAATTGTTCACGGGACTTCCCCTTCAACAATTTTCAACCCCTCCCCTTTGATTGGCAACCACTTGCTGTGCTAACTCACATGGTGACCAAAGGAAAAGCTCCTCTTTCCATGTTACATGCTATGGGAGGTGGAATAACGAAATAAATGAATGCTTCAGAAAATTCCACGTGATTATTGATGCAAGATCCTCAATATCGTAAAAGATGGACTAACGTCAGGACTCTAGGAAATTGACTGCCACCTCCAGAGGTAGGACAAAGGACCCTTGCTTATATAGGGCCATCATCCTAGCAGCACCCCAACATTTCCATGCGGCTTCCATTACTAACAAAACGTTGCTGACCCCATCTCGTTTTTCAACTGTGCACTGTCTTGCTACTTGCAGCGCGCCAATCCTCTAGATTTTTTCTGGACGCGTACAAAGGAGAAGTCCCAATTTACCAACTGGGATCATGGACAGCCGGATGGCCCTCCGGGGGAAGTCATTGGAATGAACGAGCATGGCCGCTGGCATGATTACCATCTAAGGGAGAACAACTTGGCAATCTGTGTTAGAGGTAGGGCATGGATAGCATTCTTACTCTACTCTAGAACACCTTCCTGCGTTAGAGTCAAGATTGTGCATCGAGATCCCACTGTGGTCAAGATGTGTTACTTTGCTATTTTTGATGGAAGGATTCGCTTCAAGGTCTTCAGGAACATTTTGGAATTTTCACGAGTTTACTATCCAGTGTTCTGGTCAGGTCCTTGTCCATTTGCTCGTGCCTGTTCTTCACCTGACCAGAAGGCTTGGAACAATACCCGTGACTATTTATTAATGTTGATGAAGAACGTGAAGCGTGTCTTTCTTCTGAGGGTTATTATTATACAAGTAGTACTTTGTTCGTGGAGAAATTGTCATATATTTTCACCGTCTATTTTAACTTCATCAAGAAAACAGGCAAATGTGCCTTCTGAGGAGACCGATATCCATTTCCTACAAAGCATAGTGGAGAAATTATCTTAAATGTCATGGGTACTAGTGATTGACGCTAACGATGCATACCTGTACACGTAGATATGAGTAGGAATGTAGTGTGGTATATTGCTGGAGACCTGTTGTCTTGAAAGGTGCATTAGTTACCACATGTATTGTCCAGTCGTCCTGACAGTATATCGATGTGGCACGATATTTCACCCTGAACTATATTTTGTGAAACTTGTTTGGGGAAATGGATACTCTGAAGTTTGAAGTTCAGGCTACACATTGAGAAGCCTGTCTTGTCTACTGTCCCTTAGTTGCTGCTATGTCTTACTTTGGATGGTGGCGATGACATGCCGGTTTATCCTTTCATTGTGGCACCAGGTGCTTTGGTTCTGTAACTTCAACCACCTGGCCACCCCCCCCCCGTATTGGGCTAGATTGGTTGCATGCATCCATCCATCCATCCATCCATCCATCCATCCATCCATCCATCCATCCGTCCATCCATCCATCCATCCATCCATCCATCCGTCCATCCATCCGTCCATCCGGCCATCTGCCTTTGTGTCTGTCTCTTCTTATCCCTTTTCATGCCATTCCCTTCTTTGCTTGATTTACGCAGATGCCCTCTTCGTCTCTCTTTCTAGATATGCAGCATCAAAAGATATGTTCGATTCTTATACAGGTTTATCTGGCTTGAAGTGCATTACCCCAGCCATGAAATCAAAATGTTGGCACTGGCATGGCTGAACCCTGTATATCTTTATGTGGTATAGGAATGATGTTTGCATTGCACCCTTGAGGTAAAAATGATCACAAGATCATCTGTCCAGCATTTTCTTGCACACTGGCTTTTGTGATTTTTGTAAATCACACCTGAGCTGTTGTGTGTGGTGTCCCTCCTGAATTTAGTGAAGATTTTATGACTTGGGGCTCCCGGCGTGCTAGTGTGAATGTGAAGTGTGTGGGCACAGTGAGGGCTGCGTCCCACCCGCCTGTGTGGATTCACAGGAAGTGTGAGTTACGAAGTCTGAAGAATATGTTGAACGGTCTCTGCTGGGATGATGACTACATCATAGCTCAGTGGTTAGAGCAACGCTAGCTACAAGTTAGGGTCCCTCGTTCGAGTCCTGGTGGCGACAGTCAATATTTTCTTCAGACCTTTCCCGTTTGTGTCTTTCCCACAAACTAGTGAACATCCCGAATTTCTGTTCTTTATTTGTAGATATGCCATCGTGCAGTGTTCCCGTCATACAGAACGCTACTCTGTCATACTTTACACTCTACATTGGAGAAAACTTAAACGTGACATGCTCCAAGGGATATGCTCTACTCGGAAGTCCCGTGATCACGTGTGGTCAAAACCTACAATGGTCTCCGCAACTGCCAACTTGCCAAGGTAATATTTCGCATTGCGAACATGTTTATGACTAGCGTTAATCCCTACGGAAATATATTGTGTAATGTGGTGTCTGGCTCCGCTGACTGGAGTTGGGTGAACTAAGGCGATCGGTTGGATTGTGTTCTCCATTCCTCAGGATACTTATATTTATGTGATTAGCGGCGTATGCAGCATGCCTCTAAAGGTCAAGCACTGAGTAAATTTCCAATGGGCATAACGGATCAGGTGCATAGAATCCCCTCCCCTGCCGAACACGGCATATGATTTGTTTACTGCTAGGAAACACCAGCCCTCCTACTTTTGCATCTTTAAACTTAGGGGAGGCACACGCCAGTTTCTCCAACAGCAAAATTTCAAACGTTTACCCCGAGTACACTTTCAAGCCATCCCCTCACCACATATACAGGCAAAAATAAAGGAACAAGATTACTGAGTAGAGTCAACTAGGTGAGTAAAGAGGTTTTCATTGGATGTACATCAAATACGTTGACCACGAGCTGTTGTTGTTTCCTACTTTCATCGTTTTATTGCACATTGTCTCCACTGTTTCACATTGCATGAATAACGTATACATAAAAGTAGACTCAGCTTGTTGTATTGATTGCGGTTATTGCGAATCGTGAGGTCCTGAGTTCGAGACCCGCGCCGGCAGCAGGGAGCATGTAAAAAGCCTTTTTACGCGTATTGAACTGCGCCCACACCCACGGTCAACTGGGTACCCACAGCTCGGAGTGAGGATAACAAGGGTGCAGTTTACAGGGTTAAGGGCCGTTACACGTCCGATTGGTTGAGAGACTCACCTCCTCTCCCCTGACTCACTTGTGAGGTCTGCACTCGCCACTAAGGTGAAAAGGCACAGTGGTGGCCTGCGGAAGTGAAGGCTCTAGCTTGTGTGTTTCTGAACATTCAACATTTCAAGTGATGCTAACGCGGTTCCCGCGAATATTGTTACTATTTTATCAAATTACGAAACGGTCATGGTGGTATCTGGCATCAAGATTGTGACAAGGTCGTGGCAGAGTGACTTAGTCTACATCTCATTGCCCGGGCACCGCATGATACTACCTTTACTAAGATAACCCTTGACTGTAATTGAGGCAAACATGACACTTGTTCCTAACACTGGAGAGTCTTACACGCATAACTGTTTTCGGCACACTTGGCTAAACCTTTCTGTTACGTGCAGATATCAACGAATGTACTTCTGGTACGCACGGCTGCTCAATGAACACAACGTGCTCTAACACTCCGGATAGTTACACCTGTGGGTGCTACCAGGGATTTCGCGACCTATCAGCAGTAAATCTGTGTTCAGGTACGAACTGCTTTAAGCTGCCTATTACTAGTATCCACGTCGCATTCAGGTCCGCTTTTTACCAGAATAGGTTAACATTTATTTTATTTTGTTCTATTTTATTCCCGGCAATACATGGCTTGGGTAGCCAATTATCATGTTTTATAGCAAACCACGGCCAACAAGGGAACGAGCAAGAAGTCACAAAAAACGGAAAAGAAGAAAGAAGCAAATACGGACTAAAATTGTGGTCTAAAGCAAGGCGTTCCTGAATGCTGTTAAAGTAGAATTGCCCTTTGTCTCCAGGTGCAGCAAAAAGCCACTGCAGATACGTAGCCATTGAAAATATGAGTAAAAACTATGGAACATGACATCAAAGTACAACATTAGGTGTACCAATTGTACATACAAGAGTGATCTACGTCGCCAGTGCAACGTTTGCATGTGCATATAGGTGGTGTGATAGAGCAACACACTACAACATGTAATCTATGCGTATTGTTCTATCCTAGAGTGATCGATGTAGGGAGGAGCTGGCAGATCATATTTTAGGCTTTGTGTGGCTTTGTATTTTAGGCTTTGTATACATGCGAGAATGGCGAGAATGGCCATGCGACTGTTTGGTATGGCAGGCTGAACTCCTGCCATCTCTCGTTGTATCCCCTTCGAGAGTTCTAACTGTTCCAAGACAACTGTTTCAGGATGAATGAATGACGCAGGAAAGAGTCCTTCGACGACGAGGACCGGTATGCAGAGTAGCGACGTTCAACGTGCGCTCGCTGCGAAGCAATAGCAAGAAAATATCAATTATTCTCGACTTTGAACAACACAAACTTGACGTGCTTGGCGTGACTAAGACATGGATAAGCGGCTGTGGAGTCGATGTTCTAGAGAATGGCCATACTCTGTATCATTCTGGTGGCCCGTCTGCTCGCGCAGGAGTAGCAGTCCTTGTAAGCAAGCGACTCGCGACAAATGTTGTATAGTACAAATGTATTTCTGACCGCTTGGTGGTTGTCCGCATGAGAGCAGGCCCGCGTTCTGACAGCAACTCGATAATGGTGGTTTGTTGCTACGCTCCCACCCTACAACGCTCGACGACCCATCCAGCGGAGGCAGCTTCTACTCCAGTCTGAAGCAAGTCAAAGGCAAAGGCAAAGGTGCACCATCGTGACGAAGTGTGGATCCTTGGCGACCTGAACGCAAAAGTTGGCAGTTCACAACCCGGAACCTACAGTCCGGTTGGACATTTCTGCAAGCATCTCCAGAGTAATGACAACGGTGAGCGTCTCATTGAATTCTGTGAGGAAAATGATCTTGTACTTACAAACACTTTCTTCAAGCACCGCATGTGTCACCGCTCAACTTGGTTTGCAGACGGGCTACTGGTTGCCAATGGGAAACCAGTAAGAAACATGATCGACTTTATTATTATGCGGCGATCGAATGTGCTGAAAGTTGTAGACTCGAGATCTTATGGAGGTTTCATGACACGATCAGACCACCACCCCGTGATAGCAGATATCAAGTTTGAGTTCTGGCGGTGCCAACATCAGCAAAAGTCAGATGCGCTGTGTTTTGCTAAATTCAATGCTTCAACCTCAGACTCAGCGGTGCAATTCCAAAATGCGCTATCGGAGAAGCTACCACAATTTGAATCCCCCAATGGGAGACGCCTCGGCTGTCGACTGTGCTTGGGCCGCATTCAAGACAGCATTGCATGAATCGGCCTCTCAGGCATTCGGCACATGCAGTCGCCCACAACAACTGATCAAGACATCTGATCCTACCATTCGGACACTATCCGAACAACAGAAGCAGCTGCACATTTTAATCAACAGAGAAAACAATAAGGACAAGAGACAAGTACTGAAATCAAATCGGAATAAGGTGCTGCACAAAATTCGATCTCTCCTAAAGACCCAAGAAGACCAGTTCTGGCAGGACAAAGCCAACGCTGTTGACGCCAGGAGACCCGACGCCAGATCCTATTTCAGCGCAATCCGACAGCTGCGTGATCTGCGTGGGGGCAAGAAGTCGCATCGTATTCAGCTGGCCAATGAGGATGGAGAGATCGTAACTGGTCTACAGTGGAACTTGGACAAGTTCCGGGAGTATTTCTGATCAGTATTCTACAACTCTGGCCTGCCCACGGACCTAGTAACCGAACAAGTGGTGTCTGAACCCCCCTTCACAATTGAGGAGGTCAAGGCAGCTATTCTCAGCCAACGAACAAAGGGAGCCGCTGGGTGTGATGGGATAAGTGCAGCGATGCTGAAATCCGCCATGGACATCATCGGAACATGGTTAGCAAACCTGTTCAATGCTGTGCGGATCCTATGCCATTGCCCAAACGATTTGAGATGCGGAGTGTTGATGCCAATTTACAAGCCTGGCAAGCAGATGGGAATACCAAAGAGCTACCGACCCATCACGCTATTAGCTGTGGTGAGGAAAGTGCTGACATGTATTCTGAACCGTCGAACGCGGACAGCAACAGACAGTTACGTAAGGGAGTCTCAGGCAGGATTCAGACCAGGCCGCTCAACAGCAGACGGTGTGTTCTATTCAAGAATGCTGTGTGAACGCGCAATGCTTGGTGATTCGGGTCATACTCAGCAGCGCTGCTGGACTTTAGTGGTGCATTCGACACCCTGGTTAGAAGTACAGCACTGGACAGGATGACGGTGGCAGGGGCGCAGCCATCCACTGTAGCAGCATTGATCTCAAACACTACGGCCAGAGTAAAAATTTCCAGCCAGCTTGGAGAGGCCTTCCCCACGAACATTGGAGTCGTGCAAGGTGACCCGCTATCGCCCATTATGTTCAATATGTATACCGAAGGAGCCATGCGGAAGATCGATGCAGTTAGTAGCCTTGCAAGAACTCAAGATGTACCCTCACCTTCAACACAATACGCAGATGATACAACTATGCACGCACCATCGAGGCGTGCTGTGGAGACCATGGTAGCCACATGTGAGCCGATCTTCAAAGAAGACAACCTCAACCTTAACGTACAAAAAACCGTATATTTAACTGCTTCCCGCACTGATGCATCATGGAAAACGGTCAAGCTCCTTGGTTCCTTGCTGAACTCCACGGAGGATGTGGCAGCCAGGATCAGTGCAGCGAACCGAGCATTCGGCTTGATAGCATGGAAGCGGCATTGCCTGGACTCACGGCTTTGCATGTTCTCGGTTCTCATTGTTCCAGTGCTGCTGTATAACTGCGGCCTGTGGACCCTCACGAAGCGACAGAATGAACAGCTACTTGGTCCGCCAAGTTAAAATTGGCGCTTATCTTCTCACTTGGTTTTTTGGTGTTCTGCCTGTGCCACACGGCATGGAACCACCGATTCACCATCCGAACATAACCATTGACCATTGCATCCGACGACATGGCAGCACAAACCATCACTGAAGTTGCGATCGGTTCGTTTGAGTCTTTTTGACGGAGCTGCCGCCGACGAACACTTCCGTCAGCGCAAGAAAACAATGCAACCTCCGCTCGAGTCCGTAAATAGGTCAGGATGTTCGCATTTCAGAGCGATGGAGAATACAGTTTCTGTCTACTTCCAGCTGTCTGATGGCAAGGGTTGTTTACCCCGGGGAGGTATAGAAAAGCTGAAAAAGCGCTTCGCGAGCTTGAATTTCAGTGCTTGCACAGTACAGCGCCTAGTGAAGGGTTATCACCAGCAAATCGCTGACGAAGAAACTGCAGCTCATGTCGATATATCCAGTAAGTCAAGTGAGACTAATCCGGCGGACACACTTTCAAGCTCATAGAGGACAGGGCAAAGGAGCTAATCAAAGTAAACACCAAGTCCTGAGAGAAACACTCGTGCAAAGGACTTTCAGGAAACTAGCCGAAAAGCCTGGTGCACGGCGTTGTAGGTGCAGTACGCACAGGTGCTACATCAAGCGGAAGCTATCACTGCACTGCATGTAGATCTTCATGCACCATGCACCAGCGGCTCGCGTGGGTACGGGTGCTGATCATACCAGCAAGTACGACAAGCGCAAGAGGCGATTTGAAAAAAGGACACTGATATGGCGTTGCCTTTTTGTCTCAAACAAAGACGCATTATTGCGACGAACGGGGATAACACTTACAGTCAACATGCGGGCAGTCTCACTCAGCTTATGAGGGGAAGGTGACAGGCACGCACTGCCTTTCAGCATGATTCGAGACGAGGAGAAGTGGAACAAGCTATGAAACGACCCGTGCAACAGCTGTCCGGATCGTACGTTTTGAGCTCTTCCTCCAGCGACGATAGTGGCGAGGAGGATGAGTAACTTGCTTGAATTTTCGACTGAGTTGCTTACTGACATGTAAATAATCATGTATATAGTGCTTTGTGATCGTGGCTTGCTTCAAATATTCGTATTTCTTTCCTGAGACAAGTGTGAAGATTACCGCCAATTTTAACTTGGCGGACCAAGCTGATGTATGGCAGAGAAGACAGCTCCGTTATATCTTCGGAGTCCACTGCCCGCACTGCATATCCAACCACATCCTGTATGAAAAATCAAAACAGCAACCAATCAGCAGGGTCTGCAAGAGAAGACATCTCCTATGGTTCGGCCATGTTGTTCGGGAAGGTCCGGGCACGGCTTCCTATGGCGCGCTAACTATGGCCATCGACACGTCAAAGATCAAGCGTCCACGAGGACGACCGAGGCTTCGGTGGATTGATGTGGTGCAATCCGACATCTACCCTCTCGGACACACGCTCGAGGATTGCCTCAAAACTGCACGGGACAAAAAGCTATGGCTGAACTTCATTAACAAATGTACATCGGTGTAAAAATAATGGCGTGTACTTGTCATGTTCTTGAACCTGTATATGGTTTTCTCGTATGCTATTCTTCCTGCTGCAATCTATTTCATGATGAAACAGTTGACAGATGCGTGGAACCCATTATTTGGGAGACATGCGACCTGTACTATTATTAAACATGCGACCTGTACTATTATTAAACATGCGACCTGTACTATTATTATACATGCGACCTGTACTATTATTATACATGCGACCTGTACTATTATTATACATGCGACCTGTACTATTATTATACATACGACCTGTACTATTATTATACATGCGACTGTTACTCCGGGTTTATTCACATCTTAACAGGGAACCTCTGTTCAGGTACGTGATTGCATGTTTCTTTAATTCAACTTATTTGTTTAGTAAGAAACATTTTCTCTGGTGTGCAAGCCATGACTACATTGTAGTCATCTTCGAATCTTGGACCATATCTTTTCATTTGGAGGGAAATCCTTGGATATTGGTGAAACCAAGGCAAGTTAGCAGCATGCACCAGTAATATGCAGCATCACTCGGCTGTGTTGATGCTTTGTAATTCTGTTTCAGCTTGTGTGTCGCCGTGGCAACAACTTGCACCAAATTCTCGCTATTGCGGAAGGATTTTACCTGTGAATTATAACTATCGTGACGCCAGAGCACAGTGTGCATCGCAAGCTGGGGGAGATACATGGCTACCAAGGGTATACAGTATGCAAGACAATAATGATATTGCTCGACATATCACCAACAGTGTGTGGATTGGTGCCGATAACTTGGATGTAAGCATGAGTCAGCTCTTTTAATATAGTCTAAATTTTGCAACGCATTTTGCAACGCATATGGCCGATTGGTTTGCAGGCCTGCCTGCGAATCATGAGGTCCCGAGTTCAAGACCCGCGCTGGTAGCAGGGAGCGTGTAAAAAGACTTTTTACGCGTGCTGAACTGCGCCGACACCCACGGTCAACTGGGTACTCACAGCTCGGAGTGAGAATAACAAGGATGCAGTTTACAGGGTTATGGGCCGTTACACGCCCGATTGGTTGAGAGACTAACCTCCTCTCCCCTGACTCACTGGTGAGGTCTGCATTCGCCACTAAGGTTAATAGGCATAGTGGTGGCCTGCGGATGCGAAGGCTAGTTTGCGTGTTTCTGAACATTCAAGCGATGCCGACGCGGATCCCGCGAATATTATTTATTATTATTAAATTTTGCAAATTCACATATTTACTTGACGTGTCCACTTGATTGCTGATACATTAGTTACATGTATGGTGTCAGAGGCCCGGGTGATTTCTGCAATATTGAACTCTATGAGTAAATGTCACCTGAAAGCAATGAAAAAGAATTTCTCAAAAGCAACTTTCAAGTTATTATAATGCTACTGTTTGGACATATTCGATGCTCATAAAGCCTACAAAGCCCCTTAATGCAAGGCGGTTTAAACTCATTTAATTCAAACGTAATAAAACGCCAAAGAAGAAAAGGAAAAGGAATGAAAAACCGTGATCAAGCTCTGTGTATGCCTAATTGCCTAATTGGTCTCCAGAATAAGTAGGAATGTGATAACTATTACAGACAAGAACGGATGGTCTCGTCAGTTATCGTGTCTTCTTCTTTGTGATCACAAGACTAGAAGCGCTGGATGGTCAACCTTTCGGTGCAATGAATTATGTGCCATTTGTCTTGAGTGCTTTTCAGGATCTAGGGAATCACAAGTGGCGGGACACGAATGAGAGCATCACCAAATTTAGCAATTGGGACATTGCAAATGGCCAGCCAGACCTACTGTATCCTGAAAGCATATTTATACTGCCCAACGGTCTATGGCATGACGGTAATTCTGCAGCAACCGTGCCTGTGATGTGCGTGAGAAGTGAGTTGATAGCGGTGTGTCCTCCTCCCACCTAAACTGCTTACAGTGCAGTTCAGTGTAACAACATTTGGGTTTTGCAGGTTTCAAAGCCGGTATGCCGCTCGCCAAACAAACTGAGTCAAAACCCCTCAAAATTCAGTAAGCAGTCAGAAAGTGGGACAACAGGGCTCAGGTTGCTGAATGTTTCAGTACCCTCTCAGTTTCGTGCCCCGTATTTTCTGACTGCTTATTATCTTGTGACAGCCGTGCATAATTGTTCATAACTCGTTTTCATGTGATTTATTCTATTTTAATTACATATTATGTAAAACAGAGAGGTTCCAGGCTGTCAAAGAGAGTGCTTAATATCGAGTGGTAGAGCTGGTTCAAACAATAGGAGTATTGATTTATTTGAATTCGGTATCTAAACAGTACAATGTACAACTGGGGAAGATCCGAATGACATAGATATGTTGGGTCCGAACAGGAGACACATTTCTTAGGGACAGGACAAGAGACAGGACAAGAGACCAGAACGAATGAAACGACTACATGGTGATTACTGAAGAGAGCGAGTTGAAGAGAGCTTATTGAAGAGAGCGAGTTGAAGAGGGAGCAACGCATATTATATAAGTACCTGGGTAGCTATGGCAAACATGGGCGCGCAAGTAGCTACCCAGGCCAAATGAATAATGTATGAACTTATGAATATGAACTAATACTTGTGGGCCTAACAGATACATAAACATAAAAGTGGAGTAGGTGCTACAGCTGATCATTTTATCGCAGCCGTGCATGCTATATCTGAAAATCCCGTGAATGATCTACATCTCCCAGAGCTGTGCATACTATGTCTGAAATTTCCCTGAATGGTCTACATCTCACAGAGCCATGTACTAGTATAGTCTACATCACATAGTGCCATGAGGTACCTCTGACAGTGTGGCAGGTGCTCCACGTCTTTCTACGCCACTCTGGATGACATAGAGTGCGGCCTTGTCTTACGGTGTTCGCCTGTTTGTCTCACTGTGCTCTTCTCCATACCTACCTGTATCATTGAGCATGTTGCACTGTGCCATGATGTACGTTGCACTGTGCCATGATGTATGTCACACTGTGCCATGATGTATGTTGCACTGTGCCATGATGTATGTTGCACTGTGCCATGATGTATGTTGCACTGTGCCATGATGTATGTTGCACTGTGCCATGATGTATGTTGCACTGTGCCATGATGTATGTTGCACTGTGCCATGATGTATGTCACACTGTGCCATGATGTATGTCGGTCCAATATTGGCGAGATGCAATCTTGTATGCGCCTTCAGGCAAGATTTCCCTGCATTTTGTGTGCAGTGAAAGTGATGCAGAAAAACACGATTGTAGAAAGTGATCGAAAGATTTTAGTCACCCTTGGTGACGAAGATCAGATGTTGGGAGGTTTGATACAGTGAATGTGTTCGGAGTTGCTTTGTCCTTGAAATGCCCGCTCTGAAGCCGGTTCTTAGTGATCTATGGGCATCTTGAAGCTTCCTCTGCAGAAAGTAGTTGGGTGAACACACCCATTGCCAAAGCACTGAAAAGGACCAACTCATTTTGTTAGTGAAAATCGGTGAATGCTTTCCAGAGGTTTGGCCCAATGATATCAACTTTAATACGATTGTACTTGAAGTATTGTGAATTAGAGTTCAAGAACCTTTGCAATTATATTTTTCTTTGATCTTGACAGACATGCCAGCATGCACTTTACCAGTCATACGCAATGCGGCACTGTCCGTTTCGGGACTTTACATCGGCAGAACTGTCATGGTAACTTGTAACCCTGGGTACCTCATGGTTGGCAGTAACAGTATAATGTGCAGCGATAGTCTTCAATGGTATCCCGAACCGCCAACATGCTATGAAGGTAAGATACTAATTCCTCAAACCTCAAAAAGGCAACCAGCAGCTTTCTGCCTTTTGAACAATAGATTAATTCTGCCTCCACCAAATATCCTCTCTAGCAGAACTCACACACCGGCAACATGACGCCAAGTTGTGGATACTGAGAAATAGTTTTTGCTCCATACAGCGCTGTTTCCACAACTGTAGTTCTCATCTGTGAAGGTTGGGATTAGTTACTAGTTATGGCTAGGATTAATTTGACGACTACACCATAGCTCAGTGGTTAGAGCATCGCTGGCTACAAGCGAGGGTCCCTGGTTCGAGTCCTGGTGGTGGCAGTCAATTTTTTCTTCAGACTTTTCCCGTTTGTCTCTTTCCCTCAAACCAGTTAATTAATTTGAAAGCGCGGTTTTATACATGAACATAGAGTGAAATGAAGAAGCGCGATCCCACGCCTAGAGGTAACAGACATGCTATGTATTAAAACGTGGGGAAAAGGTGAAAAATAACACTGCTATGTGCCATAAGTGTACTGAGGACATCATTGATACTCGCGCAACAGATTCTAGTAATCTGAAATGTAGTATACATGTACTGAAAATAAGGGTGACAGTTCCGGCATTGCGCTCCGACACAGTACTGCAGGCAGTCAAGCGACAGATCCTGGGGCATTCATTCATGAACTCACTCACTACCATACTTGGCGGTCATCACATAGCCCGGCACCATGGGTGTGGTTATCTCATATATGGAATCATTGAAAACCGGGAATATATTGTATGTGGTCTCTGGCTGCGCTGCCTGCAGTTGGGTGAACTGAGACGATCGGTTGGATCGTGTTCTCCCGCCCTCAAGATAATTTTGTTTATGTGATCAGACGCAGCATACATCTTAGGGTCAGGCACAGAGTGAATTTCCAGCCAGAAAACCTGTGATGAGGTGCATAGAATCCCCCCCCCCCGACCTCGAACACAGCATATAATGTGTTCACGGTTTAATTAAAAAAATCCCTCTTACTTTCGAATCTTTAAACTTAGAGGGGGGGGGGGAGCACCCTTCGGGTTCTCCACCAGCAACATTTCGAAAGTTTTACCACGAGTACACTTTCAAGGCGTCTCTTCACCAGGTACACATGCAAAAGTAAAGTAAAGGAACAAGATCACTGCTTAGAGCGTACTAGGAGTGTTAAGGTACTCCTCGTGTAGCGTTACACGTTTTTACACCAAGAAGGCTGCTTTAACTGCTTTTCTTGGTTTACATTGGATATAGATCAAATCCATTGATTCCCGAGCTGCAAAGCGTTCTCAATGTCAAGAACAGAGCTTAGAGCATAGCATAGGATAACATAGGTGTCTGATGAATGCCTAGCTGCATGAAACTCAGAGTTACGACCAACGTCCCCCACTGAGTCTGCTATGTACATTGTATTATAGAATATTGCTCACCATCCAAAGAATTTTCCTATTCCCCATACAGACATCAATGAGTGTACCTCTGGTACACACAGCTGCCCGATGAACTCAACATGTACAAACACTGCCGAAAGCTATACATGCGACTGTTACTCTGGGTTTATTCATAACTCAACAGGGAACCTCTGTTCAGGTACGTGATTGCATGTTGCTTTAATTCAACTTATTTGTTTAGTTAGAAACATTTTCTCTGGTGTGCAAGACATGACTACATTGTAGTCATCTTTGATTCTTGGACCATATATTTTCATTTGGAGGGGAATCCTTGGATATTGGTAAGAACAAGGCAAATTAGCAGTGCATGCAATACACCAGTAAAATGTGCAACCTCATTCTGCTGTGTTGATGCTTTGTAATTCTGTTTCAGCTTGTGTGTCTCCGTGGCAACAACTTGCACCAAATTCTCGCTATTGCGGAAGGATTTTACCGGTGAATTATAACTATCGTGACGCCAGAGCACAGTGTGCATCGCAAGCTGGGGGAGATACATGGCTACCAAGGATATACAATATGCAAGAAAATAATGATATTGCTCGACATATCACCAGCAGTGTGTGGATTGGTGCCGATGACTTCGATGTAAGCATCAGTCAGCTCTTTATAGTCTAAATTTTGCAAATTCACATATTTACTTGACGTGTCCACTTGATTGCTGATACATTAGTTGCATGTATGGTGTCAGAGGCCCGGGTGATTTCTGCAATATATGTCACCTGAAAGCAATGAAAAAGAATTTCTCAAAAGCAACTTTCAAGTTATTATAATGCTACTGTTTGGACATATTCGATGCTCATAAAGCCTACAAAGCCCCTTAATGCAAGGCGGTTTAAACTCATTTAATTCAAACTTAATAAAACGCCAAAGAAGAAAAGGAAAAGGAATGAAAAACCGTGATCAAGCTCTGTGTGTGCCTAATTGGTCTCCATAATAAGTAGGAATGTAATAACTATTACAGACAAGAACGGATGGTCTCATCAGTCATCGTGTCTTCTTCTTTGTGACCACAAGACTAGAAGCGCTGGATGGTCAACCTTTCGGTGCAATGAATTATGTGCCATTTGTCTTGAGTGCTTTTCAGGATCTAGGGAATCACAAGTGGCGGGACACGAATGAGAGCATCACCAACTTTAGCAATTGGGATATTGGCCAGCCAAACCTACTGTATCCTGAAAGCATACTAATGCTGCGCAACGGTCTATGGCATGACCATAATCCTGCAGTAGCCGAGCCTGTGATGTGCGTGAGAAGTGAGTTGATAGCGGTGTGTCCTCCTCCCACCTAAACTGCTTACAGTGCAGTTTCCTGTATTAACCTTTATATATTGCAGGTTTCAAAGCCAGTTTGCCGCTCGCCAAACAAACTGAGTCAAAAACCCTCAAAATTCCACCCAAAGCCTTAATCCTGCAAAGCCATTTCAGTGATGAATTTCACGAATTCAATGGTTAAACCATCAACTTCAGCTGTTCTTTCATTCACTGTACTCATACTGTACTCATACTGTAAAGCCGGAAAGTCTAACGAGTCACAAAGTCTAACGTTTTAACGACCAATTATTTTCTTTGTTATATGAAAAACGCATTATCGCTAGATGTCTGTGTAATAATAAAAATAATAATAATAATTTTAATATGGCAATAAGTAGGACGAGCTGAAACAACATGTGGACTACTTTATTAACAATGTAAGCGATGGATCCGATGCAAGAAACAACCTAAAGGGTAAGGAAAAATACATGTAAGAAGAAAAAGGGCAATGGAAAAAAAGATGATTCGAACAAGTTTTCGTACAACACTCTTCAGGAATCACCGTTGTACTAAAGAACAAAATGAAAACAAAGGAAATAATATTTATAGCAATCAAGGTAGGGTGACACGATACAATGACAGCACTGGAATATCGAGGTGCGATTTCTCACAAAAATGTGCAGAAAACAAGGGTATACTAGTAAGAACTAAGCGTGACAAGTGTGTATCAGCAACAAAAACAAAAAAGTGAGAACGAATGATAATACTAACTATAATAAACAAGAAGGTGACAAAACACATTTAGGCACAAATGGCAACAACGTTGCCACACTCCACAAAAGAACATTATTTGAACAATTTTAGGTGATGAATTTCACGAATTCAATGGTTAAACCATCAACTTCAGCTGTTCTTTCATTCACTGTACTCATACTGTACTCATACTGTAAAGCCGGAAAGTCTAACGAGTCACAAAGTCTAACGTTTTAACGACCAATTATTTTCTTCGTTATATGAAAAACGCATTATCGCTAGATGTCTGTGTAATAATAATAATAATAATAATAATTTTAATATGGCAATAAGTAGGACGAGCTGAAACAACATGTGGACTACTTTATTAACAATGTAAGCGATGGATCCGATGCAAGAAACAACCTAAAGGGTAAGGAAAAATACATGTAAGAAGAAAAAGGGCAATGGAAAAAAAGATGATTCGAACAAGTTTTCGTACAACACTCTTCAGGAATCACCGTTGTACTAAAGAACAAAATGAAAACAAAGGAAATAATATTTATAGCAATCAAGGTAGGGTGACACGATACAATGACAGCACTGGAATATCGAGGTGCGATTTCTCACAAAAATGTGCAGAAAACAAGGGTATACTAGTAAGAACTAAGCGTGACAAGTGTGTATCAGCAACAAAAACAAAAAAGTGAGAACGAATGATAATACTAACTATAGTAAACAAGAAGGTGACAAAACACATTTAGGCACAAATGGCAACAACGTTGCCACACTCCACAAAAGAACATTATTTGAACAATTTTAGGGTAATAACACTATCTTTCTGGACACACTAATTCGGCTTATGAATGCGCTGACAAACAGCTTCCAAAACTTGTAACTGCAAAAGATAACCATGACGAGCACGGCACAAAACAGAAAAACAGGAATCAGAATAAGTACGACAACAGTCAGTACTAGAAACCAAATGATTGTATACTGAAGACTTGTTATTACGAGACGGACGCACACAATCACGACTCACACGCACACCCTCACACTCACTCTCACCCTCACTCAGCTCACCTTCTCCCTCACTGTCCGAACCAGAACCTGCTCCGTCATCCACAGCGGTTTGACTCTCCTCCTCACTTGCATCGTCCTGCGTCTCACCTTCACCACCCACGCCAACCGTGAATGCCCTTGCCTTCATGTCAGTCGTCCTACTTATTGCCATATTAAAATTATTGTCTCCTCGTCGAATTTTTAAATAATAATAATAATAATAATAATAATAATAATAATCAACGCAATAAATAGAGTAAGCTGCGCACTCAGTACAAACACCATAAGCAAAACTTGTTTTCATGTAAATAAAGAAGCTTGAGTGCGCAGCTTACTCTATTTATTGCGTTGATTACATTTTTATCTCCACGGAAGCTTTTTAATAATAATAATAATAGTAATTTGGAAAGGATTGGGAGAACTTCAAATTCAAAGGATCAGTCGGGGAGGTGAACTGCCTGAAAAGAGAAAAAATCGCCAGACCCACCAGGACTCGAACCTGGGACCCTGCTTGTCATGAGCAATGCTCTAACCACTGAGCTGTGGGACCAGGCTGAACCTAGAAGGCGCTGACAAGTTTTTCACTCCAAAAGCAGCTCACAACACGTGCCACACATACTGATGGCACTTGGGTCTTTTTCCCTCCCACAGGGGACCAACCACGGTCAGTTTCTGGAAACAACCAGAGGTGAAAGAAAGTGATTAAATTTGGAAAGGATTGGGAGAACTTCAAATGCAAAGGATCAGTCGGGGAAGTGAACTGCCTGAAAAGAGAAAAAATCGCCAGACCCACCAGGACTCGAACCTGGGACCCTGCTTGTCATGAGCAATGCTCTAACCACTGAGCTATGGGACCAGGCTGAACCTAGAAGGCGCTCACAAGTTTTTCACTCCAAAGGCAGCTCACAACACGTGCCACACATACTGATGGCACTTGGGTCTTTTCCCTCCCCCAGGGGACCAACCACGGTCAGTTTCTGGAAACTACCAGAGGTGAAAGAAAGTGATTAAATTTGGAAAGGATTGGGAGAACTTCAAATGCAAACGATCAGTCGGGGAAGTGAACTGCCTGAAAAGAGAAAAAATCGCCAGACCCACCAGGACTCGAACCTGGGACCCTGCTTGTGATGAGCAATGCTCTAACCAATGAGCTATGGGACCAGGCATGGAAACTAGAGCGGAGTCTTTGTCAGGTGCATTTTCTGCTTCAATGTCGGCGGAAACATTTAGTCCCATATTTTATTCAGCCCAGCGTGCCCCAGCCGATAGGTTCCCGTCCTTCCAGAGCTACCCGTCGCGATGCCTATGTTCGCAACCTTCTGAGGGATGCCATCGAGGACAAATTTCGGTGGAAGTCCCACTGCGAGTGGCGCGGGGCTCTACACACCTCACTGGTGGTGTGAGACTGGAACTGGGCTGTTATCACTGCTGTAGCGCAGTATCTACTTTCCTCGCCGTTTGTGCTTGTGTTGTCATGTATATGTAGTAATGCACACCCGCCATGACGTGCTTTGCACTTCTCTACGCGCGCTGTCACTAGGTACAGCGCTTTGCTTGCTTGCCTCCTTCTTTTATACTGCTGTTTTTTCCATGTCCACTTCATTCCTGATGATGGTCATAAAGACCGAAACGTTGTAACGATACCAATGGATTTGTGTGAAATGCAGTGCTCTCTTGAGTGTAGGCAGGTTGCCTGCAAACAATTCAAGAATATTAAGAATAATAATAATTTGGAAAGGATTGGGAGAACTTCAAATTCAAAGGATCAGTCGGGGAAGTGAACTGCCTGAAAAGAGAAAAAAACGCCAGACCCACCAGGACTCGAACCTGGGACCCTGCTTGTCATGAGCAATGCTCTAACCACTTAGCTATGGGACCAGGCTGAACCTAGAAGGCGCTGACAAGTTTTTCACTCCAAAGGCAGCTCACAACACGTGCCACACATACTGATGGCACTTGGGTCTTTTCCCTCCCCCAGGGGACCAACCACGGTCAGTTTCTGGAAACTACCAGAGGTGAAAGAAAGTGATTAAATTTGGAAAGGATTGGGAGAACTTCAAATTCAAAGGATCAGTCGGGGAAGTGAACTGCCTGAAAAGAGAAAAAAACGCCAGACCCACCAGGACTCGAACCTGGGACCCTGCTTGTCATGAGCAATGCTCTAACCACTGAGCCTGATCCCATAATAATAATAATAATAATACCCAGGTTCGAGTCCTGGTGGGTCTGGCGTTTTTTTCTCTTTTCAGGCGGTTCACTTTCCCGACTGATCCTTTGAATATGAAGTTCTCCCAATCCTTTCCAAATAATAATAATAATAATAATAATTTTTTAAAAGAGGTCGGAGGCGGATAATACTTTAAAACGAAGGTAAGTTATGGGTCGCAAATATCCACGCAAACACACATCCAGTCATAATAAGGCACTTGTCATAAGTATCCGAACGTTTTCGGTCCCTTCTCATCAAGGATTATACAGGGAATGGCTCAAGCTGGAAAGACTAAAACTTATATAGCGTAAAGATAATTAGATAACAACACTCGTGACAAGGTGGAAAATTATCAAGTTTAGCACGACACAAAACTCGAAGGAAAATAATAATAGTGACAACAACATAGTGAGCAAATTAAGTTACATTGTTAAAATTAAGTTACATTAAGTTATTGTCACGTGGTAGATGTGCGTTACATTTGGCTGTGTTAGAAGCTTTGTATATCCGTAAGTTAGATCCTGAACTTTGCGTACAGAAAGAAAATGTGTTGTCGCTACAATTGTTTGGTGTTACTCCTCGTCGAGGTGGTAACAATGTAACTTAATTTGCTCACTATGTTGTTGTCACTATTAATATTTTCCTTCGAGTTTTGTGTCGTGCTAAACTTGATAATTTTCCACCTTGTCACGAGTGTTGTTATCTAATTATCTTTACGCTATATAAGTTTTAGTCTTTCCAGCTTGAGCCATTCCCTGTATAATCCTTGATGAGAAGGGACCGAAAACGTTCGGGTACTTATGACAAGTGCCTTATTATGACTGGATGTGTGTTTGCGTGGATATTTGCGACCCATAACTTACCTTCGTTTAAATAAAAATAATAATAATAATAATAATTTTGTTCACGCACTCACAGCTGCCACATTCATCTACTGCTACCATTCTCAGATACACTGCAAAGGTTCACACTACACGCGTTATGCATAACCGCTAGCTGTGCTGCATTCTCACGCTTCTTTTCATATTACTCTAGCTATATAACTGGTTGTTTTAGTGATTCTTACTATGTGACGATGTTCCACTGATGATGGTCACACGAAAACGTTCTGGAATTGTTTCATTTTAATTGTTTATACATGGTTATGAGTGCACAATTGATATTTTTCATTGCTATTTTACGACTGTTGTCTCCTCGTCGGTTATTTAAATAATAATAATAATAATTGGTGTGTATGATGATTCTCACTTTTCTGTTTTGTGCCGTGCAAGTTATGTTAAGCAGTTGAAGGTTCTGGAAGCTGTATGTATTCGTGTGCATAATCCTGTTCTTTGTAAACAAAAGAAGCATGTAGTCGCGCTAAAGTTGTTCTCGTAGCTGGTTATCAGATGTAAATGTTGTGTCATGTTGCACTTATAACACTTCTTGCTTTGTGGCTGCACTCAGTTATATACGTTAGCACTATGTTTGACACCTATTGTGTAATGCTGTAGCACTTCCTTTGTTGCTCACACTTTCAATTAATTATGCTGTTATAAAATGTTCTATTGTTGTACACAGTACCCTCAGTTCCGATACTATTCACTGATGAACGGACCACGAAAATCGATTTTGAATAACATAAAAATCCTTAAAGGGGAAGTTAAGGCAAAAATTAAAATTTCACCAGTTGTAGTCTTCGGGGTGCTGAGTCGAATGGTCTTGGTCCGAGAAAGCTGAGACGCTCCCTTCCTACTTGAATCCCAATCGAACTCGCGCACTTCCACCGAAACTGGGTGACTGCGCCCTACTAAATGGGGATTTGTATGCAAAATGTCACTAAAAGCGCCATTTCGTTCTTATAAAAGCACGGATGACCGCGATTGGCCCATATGTTGTAGTCTTTTGGAAGCTGAATTCACTGGTTTTGGTCCGAAAAGGCTGCGATGCAGCGTTCCTCCTTTATTCCCAATCGAACATGGTTGAACAAGCGGTCACGTGCTCCTGCGTACACCAGTCAGCTGGTCACCGTGCCTGCAGGGTACAACTTACTAGCCTGTTTGACCTTTTTTGGGTGCAGTCCTGTCACTCGAGTTGAACTCGAGTTGAACCTTGGTGTGAAAGTTGTCGCCTGCTGGCGTGGTGACCAGGTGATTTGGGCACCCAGGAGCACGTGACCACTTGTTCAACCATGTTCGATTGGGAATAAAGGAGGAACGCTGCATTGCAGCCTTTTCGGACCAAAACCAGTCGACTCAGCGTCCAAAAGACTACAACATATGGGCCAATCGCGGTCATCCGTGCTTTTATAAGAACGAAATGGCGCTTTTAGTGACATTTTGCATACAAATCCCCATCTAGTAGGGCGCAGTCACCCAGTTTCGGTGGAAGTGCGCGAGTTCGATTGGGATTCAAGAAGGAAGGGAGCGTCTCAGCTTTCTCGGACCAAGACCATTCGACTCAGCACCCCGAAGACTACAACTGGTGAAATTTTAATTTTTGCCTTAACTTCCCCTTTAAAAATTCCATGAACTCGTTGTTGTCTGGCCATGCCTGCATCGATTATACTCCTAATTGCACTAATAATAATAATAATAATAATAATTCAAATGATCAGTCGGGGAAGTGAACTGCCTGAAAAGAGAAAAAAACGCCAGACCCACCAGGACTCGAACCTGGGACCCTACTTGTCATGAGCAATGCTCTTACCACTGAGCTATGGGACCAGGCTGAACCTAGAAGGCGCTGACAAGTTTTTCACTCCAAAGGCAGCTCACAACACGTGCCACACATACTGATGGCACTTGGGTCTTTTTCCCTCCCCCAGAGGACCAACCACGGTCAGTTTCTGGAAACTACCAGAGGTGAAAGAAAGTGATTAAATTTGGAAAGGATTGGGAGAACTTCAAATTCAAATGATCAGTTGGGGAAGTGAACTGCCTGAAAAGAGAAAAAACGCCAGACCCACCAGGACTCGAACCTGGGGCCCTACTTGTCATGAGCAATGCTCTAACCACTGAGCTATGGGACCAGGCTGAACCTAGAAGGCGCTGACAAGTTTTTCACTCCAAAGGCAGCTCACAACACGTGCCACACATACTGATGGCACTTGGGTCTTTTTCCCTCCCCCGGGGGACCAACCACGGTCAGTTTCTGGAAACTACCAGAGGTGAAAGAAAGTGATTAAATTTGGAAAGGATTGGGAGAACTTCAAATTCAAATGATCAGTCGGGGAAGTGAACTGCCTGAAAATAGAAAAAACGCCAGACCCACCAGGACTCGAACCTGGGACCCTACTTGTCAGCGCCTTCTAGGTTCAGCCTGGTCCCATAGCTCAGTGGTTAGAGCATTGCTCATGACAAGTAGGGTCCCAGGTTCGAGTCCTGGTGGGTCTGGCGTTTTTTCTCTTTTCAGGCAGTTCACTTCCCCGACTGATCATTTGAATTTGAAGTTCTCCCAATCCTTTCCGAATTTAATCACTTTCTTTCACCTCTAGTAGTTTCCAGAAACTGACCGTGGTTGGTCCCCCGGGGGAGGGAAAAAGACCCAAGTGCCATCAGTATGTGTGGCACGTGTTGTGAGCTGCCTTTGGAGTGAAAAACTTGTCAGCGCCTTCTAGGTTCAGCCTGGTCCCATAGCTCAGTGGTTAGAGCGTTGCTCATGACAAGTAGGGTCCCAGGTTCGAGTCCTGGTGGGTCTGGCGTTTTTTCTCTTTTCAGGCATTTCACTTCCCCGACTGATCATTTGAATTTGAAGTTCTCCCAATCCTTTCCAAATTTAATCACTTTCTTTCACCTCTGGTAGTTTCCAGAAACTGACCGTGGTTGGTCCCCTGGGGGAGGGAAAAAGACCCAAGTGCCATCAGTATGTGCGGCATGTGTTGTGAGCTGCCTTTGGAGTGAAAAACTTGTCAGCGCCTTCTAGGTTCAGCCTGGTCCCATAGCTCAGTGGTTAGAGCATTGCTCATGACAAGTAGGGTCCCAGGTTCGAGTCCTGGTGGGTCTGGCGTTTTTTCTCTTTTCAGGCAGTTCACTTCCCCGACTGATCATTTAAATTTGAAGTTCTTCCAATCCTTTCCAAATAATAATAATAATAATAATAATAATAATACCACAGCACGCGTACAAAGGCCAAAGAACAATGCATGAGAATACACAGAAATTAAACCAAGTCCGCTTCTGTCTCCAGTCAACAAAAACCTCATCCATAAACAATGTATGTGTAAAGATGAGCATAAAGATGGATGGTCGCGTAGCCATCGCTAAACATTCTGCACGTAATCATGCCAAAATTACAAAACCGTTAAACTTTTTGGTCGCTAGACTTTCCGGTTTTACAGTAATAGGCAGTCAGAAAGTGAGACAACAGGGCTCAGGTTGCTGAATGTTTCAGTACCCTCTCAGTTTCGTGCCCCGTTATCGTATTTTCTGACTGCTTATTATCTTGTGACAGTCGTGCATAATTGTTCATAACTCGTTTTCATGTGATTTCTTCTATTTTAATTACATATTAGGTGTATTTTACTACCATCATATCTAAGAAACATGGCAGATAATCTTTTAAAGTTAGATTTCTCTATCCGCATGGGGTTGGTCAAGCACCCTGAATGAGATGCAAGAGACACCTGGTTCAAGCCCTAACTGAGAGCGAGTTTTCCTGTCGTGCTGCTTTTCACAGTCAACTCGGAATTTGTCGCCAGGCGCCAGAGGTACATGGATGCAGGCAATGGGGGTTATCGGCACTTGTGCCAGTAGATGCGAGACCTATCACCTCCACCGATTGGCCCTGCAAATGCCGCTACATTCCCAGGTCTTAGTGGCCGTTGTGAGTCGGATTTTAACAAAAAAGACCGTGCTTTACCTTTGTATTTTTTACTTCTATGATAGATATGCCGTCTTGCACGTCTCCCCTAGTACCAAATGGAAATCTATCACAGAGCGTATTCTATGTTGACAGCAATGTTACAGTAACATGCCACAAGGGATATATCATGTCTGGCAGCACAACAATCAGGTGCAATGGAAGTCTCCTCTGGTCACCTGATGTCCCGACCTGTCAAAGTAAGTGTGATTATGAAAAAGTAGCTTAGTTGTACCTTTTAATGAGAACAGCGTAACTCGTCTGTTGCCTCGTCGTGATACGAAGGCAGGGAACTTCGCCGCTTTTAATACTTCGCTGATAATGACTGCGGATATAGAACGACAATTCGCGAATAACGACAGAATTTCCATGCCCTGAGCAAAGTCCCATCTAACTTAAATATAATATTATTATCATTGAAACTTCTGGTATAAGGACACTTCGTGAATAAGGACACTTTTCTGATGCCCGCCGCGTGTCGTTATACACAAAGTTGACTGTACTCGTTATAATATCCGCTCCGTCACAAGTTTGTGTTCAAGATACGGTCCGTCTTAGACAAATCGAGTCAACTCTAACAGTTGCATCAACACTTTGCTCCATATCAGACACATTTCCTTAAGTTACGGACAGAACAGGGATACCTCCCAAATCTAATTTCTGAACATCATCTCCTCGAATTCTCTTATAACCCTGCTTCTATGCAGTTTATATTATACGTACCGTACACATTTTCTCCCATGCATTTGGGTTAGCTGCCCGTTTGATTCTGCGAATTAAAGTAAAACAACATGAACAACGGAATGGTAAGCATTACCATGTGCAACCTAGATCAGAATCTGACGGTTTTATTCACCTGTTCCTGGGTTATTCATATGATGGTACACCCCTGGCAGTAATCATGGCAGTATGGCAATGATCCCTATGTCACTGAAGAAGTTAAGTGGCGGTAGCGATAATGATGATTTCCCTGGTTAATTAAATGGATCGAAATTTGGCAATGGCCTCCGCTACTCCTCCAATACAGTGATGCTAGAATGAAGTCATTTTAGAAAGAAACTCCGAAAGGTTCTACACTTACAGTCGTACATTGTTTCATTTCTTTTGCTAGTTCCATCAGAGCCTCCCCAAATCGTGAATTTACCCGTACAGCTACGTGTAAACCAGTATTCTTCAGCGACAGTCACTTGTGATGCGAGTGGTGCACCAGCTCCAACCCTGACATGGCTGTACAATGGAGCCATTCTCTCCACATCAGCAGCAGTGACCATCACCGAAGAAGCCTTCACCAACGACAATATCACTCAGCGAGGAAGCCAAGGGAAAAGATCTGTTCTATTTCTCCACAATGTCACTTACGTCAACAACAAAGGATCCTACACATGCCTTGCAGCAAATTTTAGAGCTCCGGATGCAACTTCCTCAGCCGATCTCAAGATATTCGGTAAGTAGAAAAGCCAACCTTACACACACAACAGAGGCGAAAGGCTGTGTTAGCTGTAGCTTAAAGTTTCAAACATCGGAGAGATCATCCTCCCCTTATTTTTATTTAACGCCGTGGTTGGCAATTACCCACTCTCTTAACGTTGGCCGGTGTTTCCACCGAGTCTTGAGATGTTGTAATAAATATATATATAAATATCAGACAGCAGCATTCACCCCCCCCCCCCCCCCAAGCCAACCTTATGTACAACAGGCCATTAAAACTATCGCCATTTCAAATTCGTTAACAGGTTCCTGGGAGACAATAATGCTATAGTACTGGGACGAAAGGCACACCTTAGGCTTTTCAAAATCTCGGAAAGTTTTCTTTATTTTACTTTAGGGCTAAAAGTTGGCACTGAGATCCCGAGTTCGAGTACTCTGATTTTCTCAGATCGAATATTCGAGTATTCGAGTATTCTTCATCTCCTAAAAATTGCACACCAAGGGGCTTAAAATCACATGATTTAAAACCCTGATCGAATCGAGTAGCAGTCATTTTTCTTGGGTATATTGGTTGGTGGGTCATTTGGGCTCTCTCTACTCGTGAACAAATGTTCACCACACAGTATGCACATCAATATCTGCTGACTGCTGCTCTGAAACTGCAGATTTCTGTGGTGAATGCATAACAAGTATACCATGTATGAACGAGTACTCTGATTTATTCCGAGTACGATATTTTTGAAAAAACCGAGCGAGTACTCGAGTATTCGGGATAATTGTTTCAGCCCTAGTTTAATTTCAACCTTATCATCAGTTTAAATATCGGCAAAATCAAATGAAACTGGACGATGGATCAAGTACAGTAAAGAGGTGATAGAAAGAGCGCAAGGAAGAGATAAAATAACCTTGTTTCTATCACCTCTTCGCTGTACATTGTCTTCGTGCATTTTAGTTTTACTTGCATTGCACGTGACGATATGGCTTGAAAGTATACAAGTAAAAACTTTCAAGATGTTGGTAAAGAGTGAATTGTGGTTCATCGTCTCAGAAATATCCATTTAAAGTTATGCTAAGTCTACAAATGGCTTTTCAGACAGTAATAGTCTTCCAGTCATAAGTCTGAGACCAACATTAATGGTCTTCATGGTGCATGTACATATATATAGCAGTACTCTTAGGGCAGGGTCAGTACCTGATGATCGATTAAGTTTGTGAAACTCGGAGTTACGAAACCTCAATTGCTCGTTCTGCTGTCTGTGCATCCCGGTATTTGCCTTCCGCAAATTGAGCCCTCTACGGACGGTGTATGAACTTCACATGGTGTTCTCTGTACCATGTTATTTCTATGTCACAAGTCTCCAAGTGTTGCTTTAATTAGAGATGATACAGTTAATCATTCTATTGTCATCTTATGTGATTACAGTTCCACCTAGTGAAGTGAGACCACCTCTAGATGTTAGCTCATCAGAAACAGCAACAGCTCGATTTGACTGCAACATGTATGCGGTCCCAGCAGCTCGAACAACATGGTACAAGGATGGAAAGGTAAGAGTGGAATATGTTCGTTGCAAATCTTCAGCAATACAAGGAGGGGGGGGGGGGGAGGTCGACAGTATTTTCACTATACAGATAACTCCACAACACAAACAAATTTCACATGAAGAAAGTTCGTGATAAATATTGCGAGCTATTCCCCATAACGAACACCACTGTGCATAGAATCGGTTCTTTATCACCACTTTATTTCCATAGCAGACATGAAATTATATCATACAAACATTATTTTGCGACTTGCATGTGCCACTTGTATGGGTTTGTGATTTTTCATTTTTATGCGTCCCTGAAAAAAAAATTGACTTACGAAATTGACCCTCTGCAGTGACCTGTTTTCGGTTATAAGAAGCCGTATCTTCAGGGACGCATAAAACTAAACACTCACAAACGCAAACAAGTGGCGCATTCAGGCCGCAAAATAATGTTTGTACGATGTAATTTCATGTCTGCTATGGAAACAAGTGGCGATAAAGAACCAAGTCTACGCACCTAGGTGTTCGTTAGCAGGAGGCGACTTTCTCAAACTTTGCACCGTGGAAAATTGAAACCGCCAATCGCATTAGAACCCATGGACATTGAATGAGTTTATTATCTTTGTCCCCTACCTGCAATGCACAGCTGCTGAATGTATCCGGAGATATTCAGTTTTCAACAGACAACTCAACTTTGTTGATAAGCAATCTCGAGTACAGTGATCGTGGTCAATACCATTGCATGGCAGAGAATCGAGATGGTGTCAACTTCACTCTTGGTGGTATGGTCCAGGGTTCTCCAGCTACTCTGCTTGTGTACGGTGAGTAATTCATAGTCAGTCTAGATGTGGCTATGTCCAATCTCCGGAAAGCTACCTATTTCAACCTTGTTCTGTCTCCCAATAAAGTGGATCTCAAAGTCAGTGAACGGTCTCAAAGCATGAAAGTCACCAATCAAGATGCACACTGAAATTATGTAGGGTGCTATGTAAACATTATGGAATAGGAAATGGTCTGTAAATCTATACACGGATCTTTGAGGAAATAATAAACGTAGGAAAGAAAGGACATAATTATTGCTGTATAGAGGGAAATTTTCGGACGGAAATATTTTCGGACGAAGCCGAATTTCGACCTTTCGTACGGATTTTATTTTCGCACAGTGCTGCATGCTAAATGCACGTGTTCGCAAGCAGTACGCATGTATACTATTGTATGGTGTACAAAATTTCACGCGAACAAATTTCAGTAAAGTATTTATTTTAGTACAAAAGAGGCCATGTACGAAATTGTGCGAAATTAAATTCCGTCCGAAATATCATGGATAAGAGTTAAGAATATCTGTCCAACAATTTACCGGGACTCCATTATAGAGTCAAAAAGTGCAACCACGAGGCACCAAACTGACAGAGTACTGAGACATTCTACAACCTGATACCAACATGTACATGTGGCTCCAACACAGTCGGAAGGTTGTTGGTTAGTGCTTCGGAGATGTGTGGCATCTAGGTATCAGTTCATCGATTGTTTTAGTACTCTGGTAGTTTTGTGCCTAGTTGTTGCGCGTTCTGGCTGTATGATAAAATCTACTTATTACAGCGGTAAGCGGTAAGCGATATGTGAACCAACCCTTACCGCCGATGTCCTGCGATGTATTGCGACGCCGATTTATCTTATGTGAACCAACCTTTACCATTAATTTGTGTGGGTTATTCCCAAGGGAAAGCGGTGAAGGAACCCTTTCGCACTTGGTTTGCCAATGTTAATGAGATGATTAATCTTGAACTTCACCATTCGTGGAACAGTCTAGGTTTCACCAGTCAAGCAAAAAAACCTTTAACGAATGAAAATGCACTTGGGTAGCTTGCTACTTGTATTCAGTGTAGGGTCTGTTCACATATTGCCGGTTCGCGCCGGGAGTCACCGGCGGTGGGCCTCTTGCATACTCTCCCGGCGCATTGCGATTGTCAAAATTTCAAACCAATACTTGTCCTAAATGTCCCTACCGCTATATTGAAGCTAGAGAGGAGGTCCGTTCGCCATTCTTGTAGCCGCTTCAAGATGTCAAATAAGTCCGCATACCAACCCGTCTTTCTCGGATGACCTGCTGCAGTGTTGTGCAACTTATGAGAGAAAATAGTTCTTTTGACGCCGGCAACGTTTGCATCCATAATTTCGACACCATCACTTACTAGACTGCAACGAAATGTTCAGAAGTAGTTTCATGATCTCCAGTAAAAGCTAGTACCGAATGGTCATCAACAAAAATCTTGAACTACTGAAGAAGCAAATAATTTAAGCTGCAATTTGCAAACCTGTCATAACATTTAGGCACATTCTTTACTACTTTGTAGTGGATTTGTTACTCGAACGGTATGCGCAACGGATCGGGAGCTGGCTCTTCGCCGATATTTTGGGGCGCTGATTTTGCTTATGTGAACCAACGCTGAGGGCCCTCCGTGAATACCGATATTTATATAGAAGCGAAAATTAGTCATTTCTCTGCAACCCCTTCCCCCTCCCTGGGAAACTATCACATACATAAAGTACAGCAATATCGATATTTTGTCTATTTTCGATATGCCCGCACATACAAACTGTCCATCGATATTTTTCGAGAAATGAACAGGCGCTCAACCCCTCCCAATAAACGACTAGTTTTCTTTTTAAGTAAATATCTATAGTTACGGATTTAATACCGTCAATCTATTCTACCCCTACTTCGAAATGTCACTTGCAGTGGCGGACGCGCATATTGAAATTGTACATTTTCCATGGTGCTCAGATACAGTGTTAGTTGTACAATTGTTTTTGCTTTGCTTTTCTCATTGTTACACATGTTGTGCCTTAAAAGAACTTCGAAGTGTCATTGTCAACATGTCCGGAGATTTTGCCTGCTCTGATATGCTTCACATTGTTCGCAGTTCAACCTCGTATAACCATTGGACCAACCGATAAGGTCTTGAATGAAGGGACATCGTCCGCACTGCGCTGCACCTCATATGGATATCCTATGCCAGTCATACAATGGTTACATGGTGGTGTACAACTCCCGGATATGCAGAGCACCACAGCTATAACAACGGCTGGTAATGACACTGTCCCTGCATCCTACACCAGCACACTGACTGTCTCTAATATCCTGTATGGAGATCGTGGCCAGTACACCTGTGTCAGTAGGGTGGACAAGACTGGATTTGCTGATAGCAGTCACTTGCAAAGCTCAGACAGTGCATCAGCTACAATCATTGTTTACAGTAAGTTATATTTGGACGTGGTGAATATCATGCAACAAAGCAACAAATCAATCTGTTTTGAACGAGAAAGGCAAATCCGATGGTGTTGCCGTACTTGTGGCTATGTGAGCGAAAAAGCCCGTAACTGCTCACTTTGACTCAACATTTTAGTTTTGATGCATAGTTGGACAGAATGACAAAATGGTGGACTAAGTAAGCGGCAGTGAAGCAAAGAACAGTTTAAACACAAACTTTGATTACTTCACAGATACCACCAAAGATGTCTGAAATATTAGTCATTCTAGTACGTCCTGTAGATAAATAGGTAAGCAACAGCCTGTTTATCAACAAAGCAATCCCACTACACCCGCTCTCATACCGACCTCATTTATGGAAGAATTGTTGTCAGTGTCTAAAACTTGGAGTCGTGTTGCTGGTGTGATGAGGTCGGCCAGAGAGCACATGCGGTGAAACTGCTTTAGAAAGTCCTGGTATGAACATATATGCCTCCCCCCCCCCCTTTCCAAACACCGGATTATTTCAATTTCATAGCCTTGAGTGTTATTCAATCTCAAGTATACCATCTCCAGGCATATATACCGGCATGGTCGGCACACCATCCTTATGTTGACTCATGATTACGAAAGCATGAAACTTTAAGAGAGCATGTCTGAGAATACCAAAGTATGTGTGCAAGTGGATCTCTCCGATTTCGCTCAAAACCTTGAAATTTGCATACCCCTCAAAAATGGCCGAAATATCACATTATTTATGGGTCTAGAAACGAGTCACGCCACAGCGTATACGAACAAGCTATGAACAAAACTCCATCAAGCCAACATTGCCTCACCTTAGAAGAGTTCCTGGAGCAGTACCACTTAGCCACGCCAGCATCCCAGAAGACGAGGTCCATCACTCCCTGACGCCACAAATGATCGTCTTGAAAATGGCCAATTTACAAGCAATTGGCCAGAACTATACACCGGCAGATAGTAGAAAACCTCTTCTAGCGCTGAAGACATGACCCCCATCTTCCTTTAGGGGTTTTCTTGAAATAAACTTTTTTGAATTTTTCCACTCGACCATGCTGAAATACGGCCAAAGTCATACCTGCGTAGGAAAGCTCGCCCCTCCGCGACGTCTCCTCAGCAATTTCTACTCCAACACTACTCCCAAGGCCGCAGAACAAAGTGTATTGTTGGCTCTGACAAGGAAAAGCAGCGGTGATCATTTGTCACTCCAAACCACAAGCTTCTCCTTGCGCCACCAATACTTTTTTGTGCGACTGTTGATGCAAAAGTGACTGAATTCCTAAGCGCAGTTTTTGAATTTTATTGCAAGATACACGGTGAGATCGCGTGCTCTGTGACAGAGTATGACGCTTCCTGGATGACGACACGCGGCCATCGATCGCGAACGTGACTGGAACGCTACTCGGAACAGACCATGATGGCAGAGGTAAGATGATCTGTATTTCCTGCTTGATCTCCTGACAACCCTCACAAACTGTCCTAGGAGTGTTGCAATGGCAGTAAGCCGTTGAAATATGCCCCCAGTACAGCATGGAGAGTTATTCATCTTTCACACTTACCTCCTGTAATCCCGAACATAGTCCAACGGTAAAAGTCCCTTGTTTTCATGTCGATGCTCGCCAAAAGCTGCTAGCTCGGTCGCTTTGTGTTGACTGGCACATGGCATGCACGCGAGCAGCACTGGCTGCACGAACCTGTCGCGTGAACTGCATGAGAGATTTCTTACGTCATAAAGAATGTGATTTCATCATCATTTCACTGGTCTTCGACCTACATGGTCAGGGAAAGTCCCGGTTCGTAGGCCTACAACACAGTCAGCTTGTTCTTGAACCCAGTACCAACACAAGTGTGATCACTTCCAGACCAACGGGCGTTTAAGGCGAGTAACAAGCGCACTTGACGAAGGTGACTCTGAAATCTCGTGAGCCGTGATCCACGCGACTTGGCATTCTTGCGTCACAGGGCACGTGATTTCACCGTGCCTCTTGTAGTAAAATTTAAGCGCTCATGCCTTCAGTCACTTAGTTTTGCATCAACAGTCGCACAAAAAAGTATTGGTGGCGCAAGGAGAAGCTTGTCGTTTGGAGTGACAAGTGATCACTGCTGCTTTTCCTTGTCAGAGCCAACAATACACTTTGTTCTGCGGCCTTGGGAGTAGTGTTGGAGTAGAAATTGCTGAGGAGACGTCGCAGAGGGGCGAGCTTTCCTGCGCAGGTATGACTTTCGCCGTATTTCAGCATTGTCGAGTGGAAAAATTCAAAAAAGGTTTATTTCAAGAAAACCCCAAAAGGAAGATGGGGGACATGTCCTCAGCGCTAGAAGAGGTGTTCTACTATCTACCGGTGTATAGTTCTGGCCAATTAAGGACGTAGCTGGCTGTTTTGCCAGCGCTTGTAAATTGGCTATTTTCAAGACGATCATTTGTGGCGTCAGGGGGTGATGGACCTCGTCTTCTGCGATCCTGGCGTGGCTAAGCGGTACTGCTCCAGGAACTCTTCTAAGGTGAGGCAATGTTGGCTTGATGGAGTTTTGTTCATAGCTTGTTCGTATACGCTGTGGCGTGACTCGTTTCTAGACCAAAAAAGAATGTGATATTTCGGCCATTTCTCAGGGGTATCCAAATTTCAAGGTTCCCTTCAGAAACTTTTTCAAGGGCTTTGCACAATCGATCCACACCCCAAAGGGAACCTACCTGCAAATTTTGAGCGAAATCGGAGAGATCCACTTGCACACATACTTTGGTATTCTCAGACATGCTCTCTTAAGTAGCAGCACTCTCAAGAATAGATACTTTAGTACATTTATCTGATTTATCTTGTTTCACACAGCCCTACCAGTGCCAGACCCAACATATGCACATCAGACTGGTCTCAAGGATGTACCTGTTCGCCTTACTGTTGGCTATTCATCACCAGGCTATCCACCAGTGCCGTCGGACAACATTACCTGGAGCAAGGTATAATCAGTTCTAGTGAAAAGTCCAATATCCACACAATTCAGTTTTGGGGGCTAGTGGACAGTATAGTGTAATTTGTAGCTCTTTGGTCCTCCCTTCTTTCTAATAATACAGTTTTACCAAAGTTTGTCTTCACTGAGTAGTTAGTCTGACACAAGCACAAACAAACAACAACAAATAATGTAATCTTTCTGTACTTCACTTGTGTTTTACATGTTTCTGTATTGGGGATTCTATTGCAATCCGACAAAGAACGTCATGCTTGCATATTTGGACACGAATCCAGAATTTAATGTTGGTAATAAGATTATCCCTTGGAGTGTATATTGAATGAGATCCACAATTTGCATAAAACAACTGTGGAATAAAAAGGTTCAGTGCTTCAATTATGTAAGCGTTAGCAGCAACCAATGGTACTGGAACAGTACTTATGGGATCCTCTCACGCACACGCCGTGAACTGGAAGCCCAGTGTTTAAAATGTAAGTAGTAGAAGCCAAATTGTAGCCCTTTGGAAGAAACCAACCAAGCCTCTCCCTGTTGATTGGTAACAATGTGCGCCTATGTGTTGTGTGTTGTATTAGACTGGCGATGTATCCTGGAGTGGCTGGTCATCTGGGTATTCACTTTCCACTGACAACCTGACAATGACCATAGCCAGCATGCAATACTATAAAGCAGGCACGTACAATGTGATACTTGGAAACTTGGCTGGACAAGTCAATGTAACATTCAATCTGGGATACGCAGGTGAGAGACAGTTATTGTCTTAACCTGAGCATTGCATAGAACATGAAGTTGAAAAAAACAGCTTGATTTTGATTGCTGCACTTGGATAATCGCTTAGCGTTGATAGAATGAGTCATGCATGCGCTCAATTTTGACGTCACGGTCGGTATGCAATAACTGTTCGAAAGGCAGAATTATTTTAAACTGACAACAACTGGTTCAAATACTTGTGACATGCATATTGTAATTGAATACAACACAGGATAAGTTAGTGAGTATGCAGTTGGGGCGTGTAATGTGTCCATGAGTGACTGTGAGAAAACGCACATTCAAGTAAGTCATTGACAATTTGCTCCATTTAACGAATGTTTTGTCAACAGAACGCCCAGAGATCCTCGTATCACCGCAAACAGTTCGCGTAAATCAGAATTCTATGGTAAATCTTGACTGCATCGGAACCGGTCTGCCAAAACCGTCTATTCACTGGCTGCACAATGGTACAAGCCTCCCATCATCACTGCAATCTCAGACAGACCATACTAATGCTGACCTCGGCAGGAGAGGCAGTTTTGGTGTCAAGAACACATTGACCATTCAGTCTGTGAGTAATGATATGCACCATGGACTGTACGAATGTGTCGTGGAGAATGTGTATTCACCATCAGCCAACGCATCAGCAGATATCCTGGTCTATGGTAAGCAGTGTAGAGAGATAACTGATCGGAGAGATATTGGCATATAGGGTCTATGGTTGCACTCGCATAGTTCACCCTCGGATAAGACGTACACTGGATTATTGCAGGGCGCCGTGCTCGTCATAGGACGATAGCTGTATTGCTCCATGGTGAAGTGAATGTTGATAAGACTTAAGTTGGACTCTGCACGCTGTGTCATCTTCTCAGGTTGTAACAGTACAACTATATTTTGAGAATGTGAAACGAAGAAGTCGTGTACTGGGCAGAGGCTCTCTCATGAGATTGTAATGACCGCCCATGTGCCAAAGTTCGTGTACCGCTTTCCTGTTTTATAGATAAAATTTGTATTGCGTTGGCACCTGAGGCAGGTTTGCACATCGTGAACTCCCTAGTAGAGACACCAAGACATATCAAGCCTTTTTGCTCCATCTGTCGTTTTGGGCGCAGTCCCACCAAAGGTTCTTACGCCAACAATGGATCAGGCAGTATTGGCAGGAAAGACGGTTGAATTCACATGCAATGTGTATGGTATACCTAAACCAAGCGTAACCTGGTTTGCTAATGGGCTGGTGAGTACTATACTTTCAATCATGTACTAACTATAGAAAGTTGTCTGGTAACGTATCATTGAGTCTTGAATACTAATCAATTACCAATCAATTAATTCCTTTCTTTAAAAATCAGAAATCATTTTCATCCGTATAACTGTAGCTCTCTTCGGAAGTTTCCGAATCTTTCCTTTCGTGTTCTCTACATTTAAAACGTTGATTGGTCACAGGAGTACGCAAATACACACACAATTACACATCCACACAAAGGCACACACACACACACACACACACATACACACACACATGCACATCCACACACAGGCACGCACATGGCTAAAGTGGCATGCAGGTCATGCCCTGGTTACGAGTCAGATAGTGCGGGAATGGGTATTTAATTCTTTTTTAAATCTGAAGTCCTGCCCCTCGACAGGTGGCCTTATGAACCTTTTGGCACTCAGTAGTGGTTGTCATGCTAAGACGTGCATTAACCATCCCTTATTAGTAGAACTCAGAAGAGTAAGGGTGAGGCAAGTGATATTCCGTGGCATATCTTTACATACAGATTCTACAGAAGGATGACCTTGTGGGACGTGTCTCTTTCTACAAAGGCGATCACATCTTGACAATCTACACAACAAAGGTTACAGACCCTGACACTTATCAGTGTGAAGCCAGTAACAAAGATCAGTATGCTGGTGGAGTGGTCACAGCCAATCAAGTAATATTGAACGTCAAAAGTAAGATCATCACGCATTCCCCTGTTCACTTTGACAATATGTTTCTGCGAAAACAAGTTGAAATTTATGGTCGATGCCCTTACAATGTAGGACATTTCAACAATCAAGGTCGGAATGAAGAATTTTTTTATTGTATTCGGATACTGGAAATCGAATTGTCCAGTGGCAATGCATGGGCTTGCTTTTCTCATGTGGAAGAACTTTGGAAGAAACCTCTATCCCTTGGACCGATTGAAAGCACAGCTAACTCAGTGGTCTTCTATTGTGTCTTCCAAATATACAGTTGCACCCGTTATCAACCCTCCCATACCAAGGACTCTGTTGTCATTTGAAGGTACATCGCTAACAGTTCCATGTATATACACTGGTCATCCGCAACCAACGCCTAGCTGGTGTAGGTTGGATAACAATGGCGACTGCGATAAGTCTGCGCCGAGCAGTAACTGTCCGGATTTCATGCCAACGGATGATGGCCAGTTCACATATGTCCTGGTCATATCAAATCTTCAAAGCTGTCACAGTGGTGGCTACCAATGTTCTGTCCACAATACGGTGGATAAAGCTACAGGGCAGTTTCAACTGACAGTGCAAGGTACTACGTTGGCAGTTCTTTAGTTGATTAGTATCCTTGTGGAACGAAGCAAGTGAATCGTTTGTGTAACATTAATTTTTTGTGATTCAGGTTCGCCCATAGTAGAGAAAGCTGGAAATCATAATGCATGTACAATGCAAGGGGTGCTACAGAAAATACTTTACCACTGTATTATTGATTGGCTGTGACCTTTCTTCGCATAATATCTGCCAATTTACAATCCCCTCCCCTTGCAATTTCTAGAAAATGGAAAGATCCATTGTTTTTTGTGTTTTCCGCAGGTGTGGCTCACATTGGCATGCAGGGCATTTTCACTTTGCCAAGTGGATATACGGGTCTAACTGAGGACGAAATCAAGGATCTTTTCAAACGACAGGTAGGGTGTTTCCTGTAAAGTGATCTAGGCACACACCTGGAAAAAACGACATTCAAAAAGCAAGTTTTACCCTTGAAGCCTATAACGCCTTTGTTTGCATTTGATAATAGACCCTGCTAAGCAGAGTAGGAGCTTCATCTGCACCTTGATCCAAGAGGGTGGTGGCGTTCCTGTGAATGAGTAAAACTCGGCCTTTGGCCGAGTCTCAGGTGAACTGTTAATGTTTTTTTCCTAAGCAGATGGAATCAATTGTTGGTTACAGTATAAGAAAAGGGTTTGCTCCCCACACCGGAGCTCGCGCTATTCCGCCGACTTTACTTGACACTTGACTGACTCACGACTGCCATCCAGAGCACACGAGAAGTCCATCGAACCTTCGACTCGGCAAACCTGCAAAAAAGCACCACTCCCTGCTCAATACACAGTGTTTCGGGGAATTCACCCCTCATCAGTTGAGCTTGAGTAGGCTGAGGAAGATTGTGCCTGAAGAGCACCATTTATATAGTGCTCTCCAGGCACGACCATCACCAGGGATACAAACTTACAGAGACGCTCCGTTTTCAGCGCGACAAACACCTCGTGAGCACCAGATAGCAGCGTGAGTCAGTGTCGCTCCTGGACGGTGAGACAGACATCGAGGACCCTCGGTCATTCGCAACGCTGTCACCTCCAAATTCGTTGCGAATGACCAAGGGTCCTCGATGTCTGTCTCACCGTCCAGGAGCGACACTGACTCACACTGCTATCTGGTGCTCACGAGGTGTTTGTCGCGCTGAAAACGGAACGTCTCTGTAAGTTTGTATCCCTGGTGATGGTCGTGCCTGGAGAGCACTATATAAGTGGTGCTCTTCAGGCACAATCTTCCTCAGCCTACTCAAGCTCAACTGATGAGGGGTGAATTCCCCGAAACACTGTGTATTGAGCAGGGAGTGGTGCTTTTTTGCAGGTTTGCCGAGTCGAAGGTTCGATGGACTTCTCGTGTGCTCTGGATGGCAGTCGTGAGTCAGTCAAGTGTCAAGTAAAGTCGGCGGAATAGCGCAAGCTCCGGGGGGGGGGGGGGGGGAGCAAACCCTTTTCTTACAAATCATCGCCGAGGTCGCAACCACTACTTGGTTACAGTATAAACTAATCTTTCTTTGTGAAAGCAAGACAACTGTGACCCACACAAAACGTGCAGTAGATTACACCAACTAAAGCAAATATAAATTAATTATTCATCTGATAGGCACAATTGACCACCAAAACTGACAGAGGACTACTGAGACATTCCATGGAATGAAAGTGAGCTCGTTTCCATCAACATAAATCCTTGGCTCGCCATCTCTGCCTTCAAAGATTTGGTTATAATTATAGATGTAGAAAGGAAAAGGTCATAAGGATACGAGGTAAGAGTAACTCTCCATCACTGTAACTGGATACTATATACAGTCAGAAAGTGCAATAACTAGTCACACAACTGACAAGAGTACTGAGACATTCGACGTCCTGACACCTAGCTTCAACACATCTCCGCAGCGCTAACCGACAGCCTTCCAACTTGGAAGGTTCAAGGTTATGGAAAGACCAAAGAGGAGAAGGCAAGCGCAACGAAAACGAGCAAAATCTACAGTCCCAACGGAACAAAGAATGTCGATTGTTACTGGATGATGACGAGACCCGTATGGTATTTGACAAAGCGGTCCAACTACAATTCGAAGCAGCAAAGCAGCACACCATCCAACTTGGGTGGGTCATAAATATCAAAGATAAGTAAAGAAAGGGGAAGCTTTGCAAAAACGAAATGTATAAGCCGAAAGCCAAACTCCTACAGTACTCCTCATGCATGACATTGTGATGGACTAGTTGACTACAAAACAAGTTGTTTCACACGACGTACGTTTCGCCGTATGGTTCGTGACGGCTCATCAGGTGTGCAATTTGAAACTCGGATGTAGAGCCATAAATAAATGTAGAAAGGAAAAGGACATTAGGATACGAGTTAAGAGTAACTCTCCATCACTGTAACTGGATACTATATACAGTCAGAAAGTGCAATAACTAGTCACACAACTGACAAGAGCACTGAGACATTCGACGTCCTGACACCTAGCTTCAACACATCTCCGTAGCGCTAACCGACAGCCTTCCAACTTGGAAGGTTCAAGGTTATGGAAAGACCAAAGAGGGGAAGGCAAGCGCAACGAAAACGAGCAAAATCTACAGTCCTAACGGAACAAAGAATGTCGATTGTTACTGGATGATGACGGGACCAGTACGATATTTGACAAAGCGGTCTAACTACAATTCGAAGCAGCAAAGCAGCACACCACCTAACTTGGGTGGGTCATAAATATCAAAGATAAGTAAAGAAAGGGAAAGCTTTGCGAAAACGAATTGTACAAGCCGAAAGCCAAACTATTGAACCTTCCAAGTTGGAAGGCTGTCGGGTAGCGCTACGGAGATGTGTTGAAGCTAGGTGTCAGGACGTCGAATGTCTCAGTACTCTTGTCAGTTGTGTGACTTGTTATTGCACTTTCTGACTGTATAAAGTATCCAGTTACAGTGATGGAGAGTTACTCTTAACTCGTATCCTTATGTCCTTTTCCTTTCTACATTTATTTATGGCTCTACATCCGAGTTTCAAATTGCACACCTGATGAGCCGTCACGAACCATACGGCGAAACGTACGTCGTGTGAAACAACTTGTTTTGTAGTCAACTAGTCGATCACAATATCATGCATGAGGAGTACTGTAGGAGTTTGG